ATTGGCAAATATTTCATGCACACTCGGGTTTAGAAATTAAAATTAAACTCTACATTTAATGAAAATAAAAAGAACTGAAAATATTCTAATGTGAGATGCAACTTTTAACGTCTCTTCCAAACGTGAATAAATCTTAACGGAAAATACTTTATTTTGAAAGCTGTTATTATATTTCTTAGTATGTTCGGTACAACAAGCGTGTCATGCGACAAAACAGACATGTCCGGTTGTTCGTTGTTGTTTGTCTTCGTGCGTTTTTTTTTCAGGTGTCGGTGTTAATGGGTGAGTGGTATGGTCTATTGTACTGTCCAATGTTTTTGGTAATTCCTGTTGTCTTTTTATGCTTTATTTGATAAAGAGAACGTTTCGCTATTTTGAGGAGTTCAGCGTAAAATCGAAATGTTTTATTTAACAGCTATCTGAAATATAGAGATTGACTGTTTCAATGTATGAGTCTGTTGCTATTGACCAATTTGTTTTTTTTCTTAATTTTCTTTAATTTGCATTATGAGTAGACAAAATCCCGAGGCCGCTTTGATAGAAGTATTGTGTTTTCAAATAAGCTGGCATGGATTTATTTTTTGCATTTGAAGTTTGTTATTGAAAAAAAGTGTACGGCGACAATGTCTAATTTGTCTGGTTAAAATTAGGTTCGTATGACCAGGGGACATTTAACTTAAACGTCAAACACGTTCTGTTTTCAGTTTTAAAAGTCGTGGTCTCCTAAATTGATCTATGATCAAAGACAGTAACGAAGTGTGACTAGCTCCGCTCTTATAGATCAGGGCTTGTGTTTTAGAAGATGAAAGGCCAACCACTTAAGATTTGCTTTTTCTTTTCAGTTTTGAAGAAAATTGAAATTAAAATTTTCAAAAGATGAAAAAGATTAAATAAAAGTGTCTTGCTTATAAAGGTACGTTTTAATGTGAAGAACACTCAAAATATTTAATACCACAGAAATAAAACTTAATACTGTGGAAAACTCTACAAACTAGGCGTCAAAATTATTTTAAGTAAAGCTAAGTAAATATTTGTATTGACATTATTAATTAATAAATATTTAAAGTTTTACTAAATCTGCTTAAACCTTCTTGACTTTCCTCTTTCAAAGATTAACTTGAATATTTTAATTGCAATTTATGTCATTTTTGATCCCTTCAATCGAGATAAAGATCTTGAACAGTCACATCCTTTGATATTAACTGCACGCATCGGTGTAAGTTAGAGATCAAAGTAACACCTGTATGGTAACTGACAGTCGAAAATACAATAACGTCAGAACTTTAACATCTGTAGGATTTTCTATAATACCACATTTGCAAACTATTATAAAAAAATGCTGTTTTTAAGGGAATGACCATTTAACTCTTAAGGGGGAGGGTGTATGGTTATTTTCTAAAAATAAATTCTTATTCCCAACTTTGAAGTAAGACATATTTTGATCACGGAGAATGGAAAAAGAAATTTTGTTAAATGGTCGTTCCCTAAGAAAAAAATTATGGAAAAACGATTACTAGAAGAAACTAAAAAATCAAATTAATAAAACAAAAACAACAATAAACCAAGCAAATAAAATTAAATCAAACAAATATATGTATATAAACAAATAAATAGAATAATAAAAAAAAACAGACCTTCATTATTAAAGAGAATGCATTGTTTACATCCTCGTCTTTTGGTCTTTGGAGAATAGTCGTTATTTTTATACTTAATAATAAGGTTCTCATAAATTTATACAGTTAATAAGGAATCTAGGATTGAACTATTTGAAAATATAATACATTTGTCCTCTTGCTATCGGATTTTGATAAATCGATACTCCAGAGGCATTTTCATGACGAACATCACTTATTTCCCAAAATTGTAAATTACATGCAGCTTTATATTTTCTGTTTGTATATATAATTTGTGTTGGTTAACAGTTAAACTTTGTTATTTTTTAACAGATTATACAGACATCCTTTGGATACCTGTCCCATGCTTTGACTAGCTAATTACAGAGAAAGATGCTCTTTCATTATAGTAATATTGGTTTCGTGGTCAACCGAACAAAGAAGCAAATTCAAATTCAAATTCATTGCATTTAGTACACAATCTAATAGATAAGACGCGAATATAGAACCAAAACACTGTTAATCCCGAAAAGGGCGATATAGAGAATTGGGGTAATTTCTTTTAGGTCAAAAGATGTAATTTCCAAAAATTAAGTACTAGTATATAAAAGTGCAGGTAGAAATATGTAAGCAAATGAAATTCTACATTTTTTTTTTAAATTGGAGCAAATGCAGATCGCCCCTGCATTCGTACACCTAAAATCTGTTTATTTTTAATCATAAAGTTGAAACCTACCCTTGCTGATAGTCAGTGACATCTAGGCTTTTGATGTAAGGATTGTTAATAAGCCGATGCCTCATTTATTTTATACTAATTTTAGAGATAACTAAATAAAAATGCTGGTTCGCAATTATCAGAATAAGAATTTCATATTGGCAGCATGACATTTACAAACACAACACGCTACACTATGATTTTGTAAAACATTTTCACATTGAAATGAAATTTTAAATGTACATATAATTATAAACCTACATATATTTCTTTATCTTATATGAATCATGTACATTTTATTTCAGACAGAACCAGAAATATAAAATCGTTATAATTCCCTAAATATTTCAGGACAGACATATTTTCATTAGTAAATAACCAAACAAATTTTGCCCCATTTGAGAGATCTGAAAATGTATTTATGCTCGAAAATTAATATTTAAAACTCATGACTAGAAAATTAAAAGGTTAGAAGTAAATGTATACGGGTGAATATTAAAAAAAGAAAATTGTAATTTGATAACCTGGTATTTGACCATATTTGAGAGATTCGGAATTCGCTTTTTGTGAAAAATGACTATAGTTTCACAAAGAAAATTTTAATGAAAGCTAATTTTTTAAATTTTGAAAGAAATATTTTTAGATTAGATGATCATTAAAAATGCTAAATTAATATCTTAACGAAAATAAATGAGTTGTATGTAATACGAAAGATTTAAGAAAAGCAGAAAACAATGATTGATACGGTAAAGGTAGAAAATTGAAGAGAATTGAAGTACAAACACAGATCATGTCTTGTTCTGATGTGAGTAACATAAAGATCTACACATTTGTTGTCCTACAAATTGTTTTGGTATTTATAACACGTGTTATCGTAAATTCCAATGATGGTGGTGTCAGTAAGAGCTATCTAAATACACCACAGTTAAATTTGTCTTATGAAAATGGAATGATATGTTTATAAAACGCGTGTAATATATAACAACTGTATCCCCACTTCAAATATATTTGGTGCTTATACTGTTTACATTTTAATGTAATATGTCTTTGTATCAACCAAGGACCCAAAGCATGAGAAAATGAACATTGTTTGTATAGTATTAATTGCTTATGTTTCGACGACAACACAGTGATGTTATTATAATCTTAATTTTATATTTATTCCAAATTTTTCAAATACATTTCTCGAACCGCAAACCACCTGATGATAGATCATTACTAAGTTATGAACACTTTAGTCTTAATAAATCATTTGTGCGTGTTGTTTTGTAATTGTGGTAATACTATAAGCTTAACAGACTACCATCAAAAGTGGTCGCGCGAGCTAGCTACAAATTACTACGTAGTTATCTGACGAACTCTTGACAGTTTACTACTAATTACCCAAGATAAGGGAAATGAACATTTCTGATCACAAACATGAAAGAAGAAGATAAGAGGAACGTCGTACTTTAACAAAGAGGGGTTAAATGGATTACCCCGATAAAATAGATACGTTTGGTAAAGATCACCTGATTGGCATTGTTTTGTATATCACGATATACTATACTGTTGAATATACCGGGATTAAACACTTGTAAACCATTGAAACTAGTAAATTGCCGTTTTTAATAAAATATATGATGCATTGAAACATATTTTGGAAACGTTTTTTTCAGTATATAAATTAAAAATTCTCTTTTCTTCAAACTTCAAAGAATGTACAATATTCCTGTCTATGCATTTGTATTACTTTGAATTTGTCAACGTTTGGCAACTTCAAAGCAAATGCACTCTTGTTGGTACAATGCATACATTTTTATGACAGTTTACATGTACGTGCATATTACATAGATAAACAATTAACGCACAGAATTGATAAATGTACAACATGGAGAGAAATACAGGTTATTTGTTTTTATCAATTTCAATAGCAATAGTCATAAAAAAAAATCCCCAGCCGCATTCTCCTTACTACAATTGTTTGAATCGAACTAAATGACTACCTTTATTTCATTCAAAATATTAGATAATGCGAGTTAAATACATGTACCTGTAGCCACTGCGACCTATACTGGAAATCATAACATAGTAATTGAAATAAACACTTTTTATTTGGTGTGTTCGAATAGCTTTTCTGGATTTACCTAAACTTGGAACATTCAAAGCCAAAACAATGAAAGTCAAGGATGTATAATTAGTACAGGAGCTATATAACATAAACTTCGGAGTCATAAAAAGAACAGCCTAAGTCATCTAAGGTCAACTTTGCCTGAGAGAGATGGAACCTTTGACTCTTAAAAATTTATAAATTTATCAACGGAAATTTTAAGTTATAAGTGGCGAAGCACTGACTACAGGGCTTATGGTATCCTCGGCGGCTAACAGTCCACCAGCGGTATCGACAAAGTACTAGAAAATGAAATAAACAATGTATAAATGTCATACGCCTGAAACGCTTTTCTGAATTTACCTTCAACAATGACCACTCATAAACAATAGGAAGGCACACACACTTCACCAGCTGATTTATTTCAGGAATCACACATTTCTTCGTAGAAAAACCTTTATGCAATTTAGCAGGAACTCTCATGTCAAAATGTAATTATTGTTTCATGTTTCAACTTCTGAAATTTGATACATCGATTATTGGTATTTGTATATTTTGAATTATATATGGCCATGGCCAGAAACAGTGCTAGACTTCACCTTTCAGAGATACACTGAAAGTTGTCAAATATGTTTCTAACCGTACTGGTTTTCCACATGTTCAATACAAATTGTTATGGCAAGTCTGAAAAACCTTGTTCTTTAAAATATCATTTAATCAACCAGATTGAAAGGAACTTGGTGGAACTGAAGTCTTTGCATGTTCAAACACCCGAGAATAGCGGTAAGATAGTTTTAAAACAAAGTGAAGAATACATACTAATATGGTTGTGGTCGCTCTCAATCTAAAAATAATGTTAATTATACTCTAAAATGATCTTCTCAGGACATCAAGCTGAAACGTATATCAGATGGGGAAAGTCCAGTTGCCCACAGGAAGCAACACTGGTTTATGATGGTAATTTTATTTTTTTAAGTTAATTGAAAACACATATTTCACAAATTATATTGTTTTTCTTCTATGATCATAATACTTGTAGTTCTTTCATTTATATATTCACCACTAGGATAACGAGATTAATTCAATAATTTAAGAACAGGCAGTTTCTGCATTTTTGTTTTATTTCATTTAATAATAATAATAATAATAATAATGATAATGAAAATAATAATAATAATAATAATAATAATAATAATAATAATAATAATAATAAATAAAAATAATAATAAAAATAAAAATAATTATAATAATAATAATAATAATAATAATCGATAACAAATGCACTAATTCTTATATATATTACATGAAGTATTATATATAAAATCTATTTCGGTATCAAATAAGTTGTACTAATTACATTTTGTTCCATTTATTTTTACTTCTACTATAATCTTGTATTGGTATAATTTTTTGCAGGTTATGCTGCCGGTAATGATTATAGAATTGCAGGGTCAGGTTCAAATTTCCTGTGCCTACCAAAGACTCCGGATTGGAAAGAATATACAAGCGGAGCGAATCAAGGATCAGGTCGTATATTTGGCGTTGAATATGAAGTATTAAATCATAAACCTTATCCAAAGAGTTTTCACAATCAAGACATGCCATGTGCTATGTGTTTAACAGCTAAATCTACTGTTCTGATGGTTCCAGGAAAACTAACATGTCATGAAAGCTGGCATAAAGAATTTTCGGGTTATTTGATGTCGGCAATGAGCAATTAAAATCCGTACAACGTCGGAATACATATGCGTAGACGAGAAGTTAGAGTCCGTTCCAGGTAGCAACGCTGATCATGATAAATCCATCGTTTACCCAGCAGAAGCTGTTTGTGGTAATTTAAAATGTCCACCATATGTTGGTGGTAGAGAACTTACATGTGTTGTCTGCTCCAAGTAAATGTAATAATGCAAATAAAATATGAAAATGATCTAAAAAAAATCTGTCGTATGAATATTTTCTATGTCCTCTCACTAAACAATTCAAAGTTTAGTGACTATGTGTTGATCATATCATCCCATCGATGACGAAACCATATCTTGACTTACAGCTAGAAATTGACAAATTTGTTCGGTCGACATCTGAACTTTATATGACAAAAGAGATGATTTCAAACTTCCCATTGTGAACTTTACATTTCTATGTAGAAACATTCCAGCAACACATGTGGAGTATATATCCCCCAGTTGATCCGACATTGTAAAGTTTGATTTTCTTGATAGATGATTGCTGCTTACAAAGAAGCTATTGAACCGATAGTTCTTAATGGTAACTTTGAAGTCATCCCTTCAAAGGTTTTAGAGAAGCCATCATGATTTTCTTGACCGTTACAGAATATCTATGTCACAGATGACCACGGATAGGGTCCACTTATCGTTACCATAATCCCGTCTTCATTTCCTGGATTTGTGACACCGAATTCGATTTATTACCAAATTTCAATTTGCCATGAGCAACACGATGGGTGCCACTAGTAGAGCATAACATGTCAACCCTTTCGGAACAACTAAGCTCACCCTCAATTTTGTTTTAAAGAGGTTCATACTGTTTTTGCTTTAGCTTTCAGGGCATGTTGTATTCTGTGCTAACTTATTCTTCAATATATATATTGTTTCTACCGGTAACGGTCTTGTCTATCCTTTGTCCTGGAAAGCCGTGTTTTCATTTCAAAATGTTACATTGGTCAGGTTTTCGGTTTAAAGACTTTGAATGACCGAATGTTATGAATTTGTTATGCTTAATCAGCGGATATAAACACAGCCACTCTTTTAACAGGAGCAACATGACACGTGTCACGATTTAAGCAGTAACTGCTTTACTATTCCAGAGCACCCGAGTTCATCCTCGGTTTATGGTGGGTTTGATTTGGTTTTCTATACAGCATTCTGTGACCTGTTGTTATCTACTGTATTTTCGTTGTTTTTCTTTGGCCATGGATTTGTCTCATTTTCTAAGATTTATGGTTTTTTTTGCCCCTTGGTATATTCTTCCCCTTTATGTGTTATAAACATAATTTTTCAAATACATAAGAAGGCTTTAGATGATGTCTTACTATTTCATAAAACATTAATTAAGTCGTCTATTCTTTGGAGTTTTTGTGCTGTTAAGTTTCCATCACATTGAACTCACCCCACTATCTTCTTTATTCATTTGTCTCAAACTGTTATTTTTTTACTTAACTTTTCACAAAATACACAATTTTTCGACATACTTTGTAAATTAACCATAATCGGACATATAAGGTAGTATGCTTATGGACGAAGTAAAACACACATTAAAATGGGAGGAAAAACTCCAACATACCTGTTATACACGAGTAGTTTACTGATTACTGGTTAAGGGTGTTCGCTACTCATATATTGAATTTTTGTCAGATATTCGAAATACTCTACTTGTATCCATGTGCGCCAAGAAAAATTATGCCGGCTAGCCCCTACTTCTCTTTTCATTATTTTATCAAATATCGTTTAAAAAGCCATTTTGATTATTTTTTCATAAATTTTGAAAGAAAAAAAGGTACCAACGGTAAATGTAGTAAAAATCTAAAGAGAATAATTCCCAGCCAAATTTTTAATGGCTTATATCACAAAAACAAGGACATGGACCTTGCATTTTTTGTTGTTGATTTTTTTAGTTCTGTTATTAATGTTCTATCAATTTATAGCAGTCTTTTAAAAGCTTGTTATTCTGAAAATAGAAGCGAACATCCTTAAGGGCTAAATGCATAAAAACACACATTTTATCTAGAAATTCCATATCTGTCCTAAAATTTAAAGATAGGTTAAAAGGGTACCACGCATAACCTTAAAATTGCCTTAACATCACGAAGGTTAAAGATGTTTGAAAAACAAATTCCACATTTGACAGGTTACCATGACAACAAACCACGATGTATATTTATATTTCGTAAAATATCAGGATTTGTTTTGTTTTGTATCAACTCTCGGTATATCTTGGATTGGGAAAGTATGTGGACGAGTTTCATATGTGGTGAGATAAAGTAAAAACTATAAGAAAGCGTCTCTTAAATTGTTTTGTTGTTGTTTGCTGTGTAAGATGCTTCTACAGAGGTTATGAGGATGGAACACTGCATAAAATCGGCATCTAATCCATAAAATAGACGCATGTTATGGTGTCATCAATGAGGAAGTGTTAACTTATAGGAATGAGGATTTAGAATTCCCCTGTAAAGATTTCCAATTCTGTACTCAAACATAAGCTGTTTCGTGATGCAAAATGGGTACCCATTGAACACTAAGGAAAATGAATTATTTTCTTCTTATCTGAAGCTACCCTTACAAAGACCTGTTATTGTTTTGATCAAGTGAAGTATATTGAGAAAATACAGCTGATGAAAATTTTTGTTTGATCTTGTCGGAAATAAAAGTTTTATCTTTTTCTTTGACTGATTAAGATGGTCCTGTATAAAGTTCCTCATTTCATTTAAACAACATATCGTCGCTATATATTCATATAAAATAAAGGTAGCAGAAAATTTTAAAATTAGCAGGCAAATTGCTAATAACTATGTTTTAAAATCTTAAATCCGTATTATCCTTAGATAGCCGTAGCCTTATTTGGCACAAGTTTTCGGAAATTTTGGGTTTCAATGCCTTTCAATTTCGTATTTGATTTGGCCTTCCAAAACACGCCAAATTACAAGGCTGGGCTCTTTGATGAGTTACAACCATTGGGTCGATGCCAGTGCTAGTGGACGTTTCGTCCCCTAGGTTATCACCAGCCTAGCTAATAGTATTTGAAATATCACATATGAAAACATCTTTAAAAGAGTGTTGATGTGCAACCTGTAACAGCATGGTTATTATTATCTAACGGCGTTCGTTATTTAGTGAAGGGTTGCTGTGTGAATTGTCAAAGTCAATTTCAACTGGCTGAAGTATATCTTATATGCTTTAAGTAAAAACTGTTGTGGTAATAGAGTGAATGTTGTCAAGAGTCTGTATATACCTTTCAGTCAGTTGATGCCAATTTTCATGAGGTCAAATGAGAAATGTAATCACACTAATTCTTTAAAGCAGATTAGAAATAACCTTTAATAATTAGCTCTCAAAATTCATTTATTTCCTGTGTTTATTTTCAATGATCTTATATCAAAGACTATTTATCATTTACACCTATTGAAGTTGTTTATTTATGTAGTTTGTTGAATAACAAAGATCAACCTTTACATCACACCTGGTCAAATTAATAAACATTTGAGATAGACATTCCGTCGAATTGGCGATGCATCTAGTGTGTTATCATTAAACATACTCTGACTGAAAAGAACTTTGTCTATGATTGGAAAGCATGGAATAAAAACATCAAAACTGCATGACAGACGTGAAGCTATTTTTGACAATACTTCAAATAATGTGAATATTCTATAAATCTTGTTGGAAAACAGGTGATAACTTGATTCATGTACATAATCTTGTCAGTTAGATATATGGGAATACTTTCTGTGAGGGATTTTTCTGAACAAACATATTGGAATAAATTCTGAAATAATTTTTTTGAGTTTCGAATTCAAAGGTCATAAAAGTGATCTTATCATACCCCCTTTTGAATATTTCTGTATGATAAGGTCTATATAATGAAAATAACACTTGGATAATTTGGAATTTACCTTCAAAAGGAACGCTCGAACAAAACAAAAAATGTAAATCAATTACTTGAATACATGTGGAGCTACATGACAAAAAGGGACATACAAGAATAGCCAAATCAACCTAAGGTAATAATTGCCTGAGGGAAATAGTAGCCTGTAGCTGACATATATCTAATTTTGGCTTACGTAAATGACATTATTAACAGTCAATTAATTTGTAATTCTCATACCCTTCTGATCTTAGTAAAATGCATATCTCATTGGAGTGTTGGCAGTTCAAATACAACAGTAGCAACAAAAACTAAGGGATTCTCATGAACTCAAGCCGGATACGTCAAAAGGGTACACGTCTCCTGCTATGTATACATGATCACCCGCCATGCGAATATGCATTGAGTCAAAATGTTATAATTGGGACTAGAACGCAAATAGTTAATTAACATCTCTAAAGATATAAGACCAAAACATTTCGCTAGTGAGATTAAACACAGACACATCATATCGGCAGAACAATTCGTGATAGTGACCATACGAGAGTATCGATGTCATTCGTTCTTCCTCATAACTCGTTTTTGGTGCATTTTTTGTGTAAGGAGCACACCCCTGTTATTGAAGTACGTATTGTGTGAAAATGGACAAGCGTAACGTATTAATTGAGATATGTAAACGGCATACAATGGGACAGAGAGTATGTCACTACTGAGAAATGGAAAGTTGAAATCAACGAGTTAGCCATATATTTTAGTTTGAAGTCGTCCATCATATCAATATTGAGGAAAATATGAAGATGTGAAGCAAACTTTCTAGCTTCGGTAGAATCCCTAATCTGAAGTTCATTGGATATTCTAGTCTTCCTTTTTTGTCTTTTTAACTTTTATTTGAGCAACTTAAACCAAACTTGATAGAAATATTATTAGGGGGTTAAGTTAAGATTTATAGTATTTCTCCAAATATATTTAATATGCATCTTTTGTCGAAATTTTTGTATCCGAGTGTTTCAAATTACCGAAAATCGAGCGCATCGAATGCACAAAAAATAACTAAAGCTGTAACTCTTTTCAGAATAGTCCGACAGCTTGCTTATTTTGAGGACATTTTTGATGATGTAACTTCTGATGCTTGAGTTTTCATTGTTTTGTTTTTAGACATGAAAACAAACTTAAAAATGCGTGCAATGACACTGATGAAAATAGCAATTGTGGCATATTTTGCTCACAAATAACTTATCAACGATACCAGGCTTATAATTTTGTAA